AAGTTAAGATACCTTAACAGATTTATGAGACAACAAACGGACCAATAATAGCATTATAGGGGTCTCCAAAATAGAAAAGTGAAAGGAGTAGAAAACTTATTTCAGGGAAATAATGACTGAAAATTTCCCTAACTTGGAGAAGAAAACTGATGTCCAGATCCAGGAATCCCAAATAAGAGAAATTCAAAGAGATCCACACCAAGACACTTTATAATTAAAGTTAAAGACAAGAAGAAACTCTTAAAAGCAAAAGAAAAACAACTGGTTACATACAAAGGAACCCCATAAGACTATAAAGAGATTGTTCAGCATAAACAATGCAGGCAAGAAGGGAGTGGCACAGTATAAACTGCTGAAAGAAAAAATCCACCAACCAACAACATTCTACCTGGCACAGTTGTCCTCAAGAACTAGAGAGAGTTTCCAGACAAGCAAAAGCTGAAGGAGTTCATCACCACTAGACCAGCCTTACAAAAAATGTTAAAAGGACTTCTTTAAGCTGAAATGAAAGAGTCCTAATTAGCAACAGTAAAATATACGAAAGTATAAACCTCAATGATAAAGGTAAATATATAGTAAAATTAAGAAAAATTTAATGGTGTAAAGGTAGTAAGTTAATCACTTATAAAGCCAGTATGCAAGTTAAAAGACAAAAATAGTAAAAATAACTAGAACGACAATAATTTGTTATGGGATACACAACATAAAAAGGTTGTAAATTGTAACATCTAAAACATAAAATGTGGAGTGAGGGTGTAAAAATGTGGAACTTTACAATGTGTTCAAACTTAAATTGTTATCAATTTAAAATAGATGATTATGAATGTCTTATGTAACCCTAATAACGACAGAGCAAAAGCCTATAGTCGATATACAAAAGATAAAGAGAAAAGAATCTAAGCATACCACTACAAAAAATCATCAAATCTCAAAACAAGAGAGGAAGAAATAAATTACAAAACCACCAGAAAACAACAAAATGGTAATAAGAACACAGCTATCAATAACCTTAAATGTAAATGGACTAAATTTTCCAATCAAAATACAATGATTGGCTAAATGAATTTAAAAAACAAGACCCGTGTATATGCCTGAGTCTTGAGACTTGCCTGAGATATAAAAACACACATACGCTGAAAGTGAAGGGATAGAAAGATATGCTAAGCAAACGTAAAAAAAAAAAAAATAGACTTTAAGACAAAGATTGTAATAAGACGATGGTTATTATATAATGATAAAAGGGCCAATCCAACAAAAAGATACAATATTTGTTAATACACCCATCATAAGAGCATGTAAATATATAAAGCAAATATTAACAGGCCTAAAAAGAATGTACTCAACATAATAAAGGCCATATATGATAAGCCCACAGCTAACATCATACTCAATGGTGAAAAGCTTTCAGCTTTTCCTCTATGATCAGGAACAAGACAAGGATGCCCACTCTCACCATGTTTATTCACCATAGTATTAGAACTCCAAACCACAGCAAGTAGGCAAGAAAAAGAAAAGGCATTCAAATTAGAAAGAAGGAAGTAAAATTATCTGTTATTGATATGATTTTATATGTAGAAAAAAATTCCACACACACACACACACACACACACACACAAAACTGTTAGAACAAATGAATTCAGCAAAGTAGCAGGATACAAAGTCATCACACAAAAATCAGATGCGTTTCTATACATCAACAATAAACAATCTTGAAATTACAAAAACAATTCCACTTACAATAGCATTGAAAAGAATGTAATACTGAGGAATGAACTCACCCAAGAAGATAAAAGACCTTGTCAGTACAACCAAAACTACAAAGTATAACTGAAAGACATTAAAGACATAAATAAATAAAAACATAGCTCATGTTCACGGATTGGAAAGACTTAGTATTATTAAAATGTCAATATTACCCAAAACGATCTATAGATTCAATGCAATCCCTGCCAAAATCCCAATGAAATTTTGTGGAGGAATAGAAAAACCCCCACCCTAAAATTCATAATGGAATATCACGGGATCTCAAATAGTCAAAACAATCTTTGAAAACTAACAAAACTGGAAGACTCACACTTTCTGTTTCAAAGCTTACCTCAAAGCTACAGTAGACAAAATAGTGTGGCATTAGCATAAAGACAGACATATAAAACGGAGGGCTCAGAAATAAAACCTTCCATACATGGTCAAATGATTTTTGACATGTGTGCTAAAATCATTTAATGGTGGTGGGGAAACTGGATATCTACATGCAAAAGAATGAAGTTTGACCCCACCTAATATTATATACAAAAATTAACTCAAACTGAATCAAAAGTCTAAACGTAAGACCTAAAACAATAAAACTCTTGGAATAAAACACAGAACAAAAGCTTTATAATATTGGATTTGGTAATGATTTCTTGGATTTGACAGCAAAAGCACAGGCAACAAAAGAAAAAATAGACAAATGGACTGCATAAAAAAAAAAATACATCAAATGACACTATCAACAGAGTAAAAAGACAACCCAATGAATGAGAAAAAATATTTGCTAATTGTATATCTGTTAAGAGATTAATATCCAAAGTATATAGAGAACTCCTAAAACTCAATTAGAAAAACAACCTGATTCAAAAATGTGCAAAAGATTTGAATAGACATTTCTCCAAAGAATATGAGTGACCAATAAGCATATGAAAAGATGCTCAACATCACTAATCATTAGGGAAATGTAAAACAAAACTAAAGTAAGATAGCATCTCATATTCATTAGGATTGCTACTGTCAAAAAAAACCAAAAAGTGTTGGTGAGGATGCGGAGAATCTGTAACCCTTGTAGACTGGTTTATGGGAAAGTAAAATGGTACAACCACTATGGAAAACGGTGTGGAGGTTCCTCAAAAAATTAAAAATAGAATTACCATATGATCCAACAATTCCACTTCTTGTTGTATATCTAAAAGAATTGAAAGCAAGGTCTCAGATATTTGTACATGCATATCCATATCAGTATTACCCACAATAGCTACAACATGAGAGCAACCCAAGCATCCATTTGACAGATGAATGGATAAGCTAAGTGTATGTATATACAATGGAATATTATTGAGCCTAAAAAAGGAAGGAAATTCTGCAATATGCTACAACATGGGTGAACCTTGAGGATATCAAGCTAAGCGTAATAAGACAATATGCCATTTATACGAGGTACCTTTAGAGAAGTCAAATTCAGAGGAAGTGCAGTGGTGGTTGCCAGAAGCTAAAGGGGGTAGAAAACAGGAAATAATTGTTTAACAGGTACAGAATTTCAGTTTTAGGAGATGAAAGGAGTTATGGAGTGGATGGTATTAATGACTGCAGACTATGTATGTAACATCACCGTTCTGTACACTTAAAAATGGTTAAGACAGTAAATTTATGGTATTTCGCCACAATAAAAAAAAAACTTGGTTCACAGGTTCCAATATTCCTTCACCACTATAGTGAAAAATAACTTCGCATTAAATCTCAATACTCTGAACTAACATTTAATGTCTTCCACAAGTTGGACTCTTCCAACTTTCCCAACTTGATCACTGAGGAGGCCCAGATTGCCTGAATAGTCTACATACTATCTTGAGTTAATAATATTTGTGGCCAACAGAGAAATGTTCCCCTACAGTATGATATGGCACTTCTCAAACTTTCAAATGTGCATAATATACTGTGGAGGTCTTGTTAAAGTGCAGATTTTCACTTAGTAGGTCGTGGTGAGGCCGAAATCTGTATTTCTACCCAAGTCTCAAAAGATGCTAAACCTTCCATCAGTGGAGCACCCCCGAAGCAACAAGGGTTTGTAATACATTTACACTTGCACTTGAAGAAGAACTATTTGTTCCCTTTCCACTTGCTTCCCTCTCCCTTTTATCAGTCACAGCTTCTCTACCTTCATGCCATCCAACATGCAGAAATCATTTTCTTTAGAACTTCTCATTGTCTACCAACTCTTGTCCCAAGAGCTCAGGAAAATCTCATTCTCTCTGTACCTAAGTCAAATTAGTCTTGACTGAAAAAAATAAAGGTAATTTCTGCTTTCAAGCAGCTTGCAAGTTTGAGACAATAGATCCATAACTGTTATAGACCCTTTCTTTCCTTCAGTTAAGCCAAGTGCCCAGGCTTTGAAGTCAGACTTTTGGGTTCCAATCCAGCTCCAAAACTTCCTTTCTCTGGTACTGTGGGCAAGCAGCTTAACTTCTCTGAGCCTCAGGTTCCTTAACTTTAATCAGGGTTAGCAATAGTATGGATCTCAGAGGATTGTCATAGTAAAAGAGATGATGCACATAAAGAAAGATCTCCGCATTTCTCAATCTGGCACTTGGTAATCGACAGACATGCCTGTTACTTAATAACATACGATGCCACCAGTTTGTGGCCGGTAGCGCTCTCCACTTATCTCTGCCTAGTAGTGCAAAATGGCTGTTTATCTTTAGACAAGGAAGCCCCCTACTTCCCTTACAGCAGTCCTTCGCAGGCATTTGACGACCACCTACCTGCCCGGCTTTTGCAAAATTCTCCTACAGGCTATATTAGCTATTTTTATCTATATCAACTTATTTTACCTAAATTATTCCTCAAAGGAAACTATAACACTATAAAGGAAAAATCAACAGCACTTGCCTTAAGTGACTCAAAAACAAATACTATGAAATCATAGTTATTAAAACCCAACTGGATACAGCTCCCCATCAAACACAAGCTTATTAGCAAGCTTATTAGGAGGTAAGCAAAACCTTCGCCTTGATAGTTATCTGCCAGAGAAAGAGAATGTAAAAGCAAACAACTTTCTCACTACTGAGATTAAGTCAGTTCATGCATGGCAACGCGCTTCCAACCTGGAGGAGTGCGGACTCATTCTAGGCCCAATACAGAACAGGAGTTCCCGGCCACGTTCGTTGCTCGGGAAAAGTCTGCAGGGAGGTCCCAAACACCCGAGAGGGAGACCTTCGCCCGCCCCACTGGGTCTAAGGAGGGCCACTTACTGGACTTGGGCGGTATCTTCTCCCGGCGTCGGCCTCAGGTCCGGGCCTTCCGATTGCAAGGCGCGGACCTCGGCCTGCTCGGCATCCATGGCACAGGGCTGACAGAAGGTGGCCTGACGGTCGCGCGCCTCGCCCAGCGTTTCAAGCCTCGCGCGCTCCTGGCGCGGACCATTCCAGGAGTTCGGCGGGGGAGGCTACGGAGTATGTGCGACGCTTGTGCTTACATACAACCAAAGGTCTTACAGTATCCCGGGCTTCTTGCCATCACTGCGCACGTTGCCACAACTGTTTCCCAGCAGTCCCTACTTGGAGATAGTTGGTTCGCTTCAACACGAAGCCCAAGGGCAGTGTAGTCCAACCCGGACTGGTGGAGCTTTGAAGCAACCCGGATGCCAACGTCACTAAAGAGGATGTTCCGGGACCGTAGCGCCTCATTTTTTTTTTTTTCTGCTCCTTCCCTTCTGCCGATCTAGTCCAGGAGTGACTAAGCATAAGGCGATAACCTTCTTAAGAATGAATTATAGAATTTTTGTTTCGGTCTTTTGAGGACGTAAAGAGCTTGGTGGCAGAGGCATCGCGGCATCACAGAGGACGGGAAACAAAGAGCACTCGGGAACTGAATATGGCAACGGAACCTTAGGACACTGGGTTGGAAATCGAGTAGGAAGGAAGAGAGACTGCACCTGTTGGGACACGTGACTAGAAGTTAGATTCCCTGCGCTGGGTGTAGAAGACAATTTGGTGAGGAGTGTAGGGGGCATGGAAAGTGACCGGGTCATTTGTCTGCCGTGTCTCTCGTCTTTGGGTCTTCAGGAAGAAGAAGGCTGAGGGGGAGGCGAGATTGGGGCGGGGGGCGGGGAGAGGCGAAGTTGAGACGGGGTACTATACCAGGAGGATGTAGGCCGTGGCTCATACCCAGAACAGGAGCCATGCTTCGGGCTTTCGGGCGCTGTTTTGGGATCGTAAGTGGGAGGAATCTGTTAGTTCTTGGGGAAGGGCAGGGCGTGGGAGCTGAGTCGCCCGCTGGGTGCTAAGCGGAATAAGAGATCTCATGATGGGCCTCATTCTCATTACCTCGAAGAGTTTTCTTGAGTCCCTTCTAATCCATCAACCTAACTAGTTTAGTGCTAAGAATTACAGATCCTGAAATTGGAGTCGATTTCTAATTCTTACTTCACCACTAATTCTCAGAATAGTATTGGGAAAATGACTTAACCTCTCCTGCTCATCTGAAAAATGAGATGCGCACAAACTACTTCATACAACAGTGGCACATGGTAAAAAACAAAACAAGTCTGTATTAGCTATATCAATTGCTTTCTTTGCTTGAACAGCACTTTGTAGACCCTTCTCTTGTGGTACAGCATTGTAATTGCATCATTTGCTTACTTCTCACGCGACTGTGAGGAGCTCCAAGATGGAGCACTGCCTTTTTATCCTTTAGCATGTTGACCTGCCTCATCCTATGCATTTGTTAAAGTGAATAAGTGAATGTATAAATGAATGAAGGAAAAACACCTAAAATGGATAAGTAAATGAAGAGGGGTAGAGTATAATGTGCTTATTTAAGGGAAAGCTTCTACCTGTACCTGTGTCTATATGTGTGTAGAAGTGCTGTTCCAAAGTGTGTTCATGGAGAAAATGGATGAAGGGCTTGAACAAAATCCCCAGGAATAAAATTTAGAAACAATATAATAAGAAGTTAAAGTTCAGGTGACCAATCTGGCATAGAAGTTACAAGGAAAAGGGTTGGGTTTCTTTGGTTCTGTTTTTTAGGTTTGAGAAGAACTAAGAGAAAGAACTTGTCTCTGTAGACAGAAAATTATTTTTTCCACTTCAGTACAGTGAGTCTGTGCCCAGCCTTCATGAAAGCCAAAAGAGAAACAAAGCGCCTTTTTGTAGGTGGCCTCAGCCAGAACATTTCTGAGGCAGACCTACAAAGTCAGTTCAGCAGATTTGGAGAAGTTTCTGATGTGGAGATCATCACTCGGAAAGATGACCAAGGTAAAGTTATAATCCTTCATGGGTAGTTAAAAGCATATCTAATTCAAATCAGTTATCACAAAATAAAAAAACCCGAGATGAATGTTAGCCCTGAACACTAAAAGCGATATGTATTTCATTTAGGATACTGTCTTGTGTACCTCACCCCACTCCCTGGAGGTGTTACTTATGATGTGGAACTTGCTCAGAATTACATTTCTGAAATTTAAAAAAATTCTAAATTCCAAAGCATCCAATTTCTGAAGCATGTAACTTTCAGTTTTCAAAGTTAACATTCTCATATCCATTAAATAGGATATTCATTCTAATATCCTATTAAGTAGAATATCCCTAACATAATCAAAATGTTACCGTAACTGACCACTAGACATTTTTTTTCTTATTCATTTTTTTTTGGAATATTTTGATAATCCTACTTAGAACAATGCAGTCTTGGTGTCCAATGAAAAATAAACAAGGTTTTTCTTTGAAAGAGTACATTTCTAAGAGCTCATTTTTTTAATTTAGAAACTTAATCATTTTTACATTGGTCTCTGAATAACAGTTTAAATAAATTTCTTTTTTCTTTTTTTTTAGGAAACCCACAGAAAGTCTTTGCATATATCAACATCAGAATAGCAGAAACAGACCTGAAAAAATGTAAGGTCTTCATGTGTTTCCTATACTATTTGCCAGTTCATGTTACTGTGTAACTTGGAATAACTTCATTCTAAATCCAAATATCAATAGCCACTTTTAAGTCATCCAGAGGGACATGCATGATCAAGAGAATTGCAGTATCCCGCAACTCAGCAGATTTAATTACATACCATTTGGCATCTGCAGACCTATGGTAGCACATTGCTAACGGGTTTATTCAAAGATGGTATTCCAAACTATTTTGGACAAGAGACAAAACTTTCATAGAAATTGCTTATTATACATATTCCACCGGATGTTATGCCATACCCAGTGTGTTCATTTCTTGGGCAGGTAATTTTCTTATCATTAAATGCTGTTAGGGGAGGGCTGGCTTTAGAGTATGCCCTTATTCAACCATATTCTTAAAATTATAAATCTATCAATAAGTTTAGTAAAGCTGAGGGCAAACTGTGGTCTTCATTGAAGAAGAAAGGGAAGATAATCCATACTACCACTGATGGAGTAATATACTCTAGTTATTTGGAGGCTGAAAAGTTAAGAGATACTAAAAAAGGGAACATGCTAATAGAGAAAGAGGGTCATCGGCCTTGCATTTCATTTGTTAAAAAAAATTGATTTGTTTTATTGTTCAGTGAAGAAATAGATACGACAAATAAATTGTGGTTAAGAACATATTAGTTCTAATGTGTGACCTTTGGCAAGTTATTTAAACTTCTAAGCCCTAGTTTGCTTATCTGATGTCTGACAAAGATATTACTTGCTGGTAATAGTATCTTTGTATTTAAAATAGTACCTACCAATAGAAACTTTTATCTGTTTAATGGTTATTATTAAGGAAGCTATAGGAATACTGAGAAAATCAACTACTAGGGCATAGCAGTTCAAACAGAGTTTAGTCACTTGTAGCTAATTTGGAAGTTACACAGTAATAGCTAATATGAGGCAATAAATAAAAATGTGCTATAGGACTCCAAAGTGTCCTCTGATTCTCCTTGGAAAAATTATATTTAATATTTTATAGTTTCAGTGTGAGAAATAAATGTTAAGTAAATATCAGTCATTTACCAGAGTTTCTGACATTACTTTATAAACAAATAACAGACAAATTTTTCTTTACATTTTACACATTTGCCTCATTCAGATCTTCTAGTAACACTGGGAGATAAGGAGTATATGAACTCCTCTGGTGAGTGGTCAAGATGAGACTGGGACCTAAGTCTTATCACTCCAGGTCTCCTTCTTTATTTCCTCTGTATGGACTTATGATTAACAAGTCTACTTTCCTTGGTACTTAACAATTAGAAAAAGTACATGCTGAAATATATTTTTGTATTGTTATGTACTTGGGTAATAATGCTTTATTTTACAGGTATGTCTGTTCTAAATAAAACAAAATGGAGAGGTGGAACACTACAAATTCAGCTAGCAAAAGAAAGTTTTTTGCACAGGTAAGAATTGCTACACATGAATTTAAACACTTTTTTTATAATGGTTTCATATGTTCATTTAGTTGTTTTGACACCATCAAGTAATATTATGGTATTAGCAAATTCCAGCATTACGAGTAGAGCTAAAATCCCTCTCAACTGTGACTCCTCATCACCCTATACCCCACCAAAAAAGATGATGTAATGCATTTGCATATGTAATTTTTAAACTGTAAAAATGAATGCCTATTTAATCTTTTTAACACAATCTTTTGTTAACGTAGGTCTTACTCCTTTTTTGTAATGACTGTTTAGTACTATTTCAGAAAATAGTACTGTACCACAGTGTAGTAGGCCATCCTCTACTGATGAACATTTAGACTGTTTCTACCTCTTCATGACAATAGATGACACTTGAGGATGGCTCCTGTATAGGGGAAGGGTTCCTCTGGGGTTTATGTCAGTAAAGAGAGTTGCTGTGTCATGGAATTACATACATTAAAATTTTGATAGATACTACCAAGTGACTTATATTTGTTTTTGACTGTTAATGCTAGTGTCATACAAAGATGTAATAGGAAATCCCTATATAAGAGGCATAAGATTAATTAGGCAAGTGACAAGAACAAAGCATTGTATCAACTATTAGAACATTTTAAGATGCTAAAGGTATTCTCAAGGAGGAAACAGTTTGTAAGTTTGGGACATTTCAAAAGAGGAGACATTTTAGGAATGGAGTGACCAGGGTCATTGGTAAGATTGTTCTAGACTAAGGAAATGGCACAAGGGAAAATAAGGTCTAAGGCAAATGTGTTTTGAGGGAGTGGTCTGGGGAGAAACGTGAGAATTTGATTTTGTTCTTCAACTGGAGACCTCTGTGAACAGGGTAGTGATGAGACTCATTCAGCAGTACTTCAGTGCCTACTATGTAAAGGAACTGGGATCCCATTCCAGAGCAGGATGAGAAGACAGTGTTGCTGCCTTGAAGCGTGTGTAGTTGTTCCCGAGGAACATAAATCTGACAGTTGTTCTGGAAGGTGGAACATAAAGAAGGCAGACCTTCTTTATGGTGCAGTTGTTCATGCCTAAATAAGGTAGGGAAGTTTACATAAGAAGATTGAGATGGCATTCTGCATTTTCTTCATTATGAGGGTAGAAATAATCAAGACTTGGCAGATTGGGTTCTGAAAGACACTTATTCCTCAAAAGGAAGAGTAAAGGGATTGAAGAAGATAAAATGCCAAAGTTAAAAGGCATTATAGTATTTAAATAACAAAAGCACTGTTAATGGCGTAGTTATTTTAACTCTTTTATTTGTGTTTTCTCTTTGATTCAGATTGGCCCAAGAGAGAGAAGAAGCAAAAGCAAAGAAAGAACAATCAACAATAGGCAACACCAGCTTGTTAGAAAAGATGGAAGTGGTGGATTTCCACGTGAAAGCTGTACCAGGGACAGAAATACCAGGGCACAAAGTGAGTCTCCTGTGGTAGCCTGACTAAGCCAGGAACAGGCTCCTGAGACCACATGCCTGCGGGCATCATATCTAAAGTTGCTTTTTAATGTAGATAGGGCTGTTAACATAGTGCTTTATGGATTTCAAAGTGCATTTACAACTGTTAGGTAAGCACAGTTCACTCCATTTTACAGAGAAAGAAATCAAAACCCAGGTACCAACGGGTCTCTCAAGGATATAAGGAAAGAATATAGGGAGTTCCCAAGTTTGCCTGTATACCATTTGGTGATGTTATTTGTTTTGTTTTGTTTTTTTAATTTATTAGGATGACATTGGTTAACAACATTATATAAGTTTCAAATGTAAAATTCTGTAATACATCATTTGTCCGTTGCATTGTGTGCTCACCACCCAAATTCTAGTCTCCCTCTGTCACCATATATTGGACCCCCTTTACCCTCTTCCTCGCACTCCCCTTCCTCTCTGGTAACCTTCATACTGTTGTCTGTGTTTATGAGTTTGTTTCTTTATTTTGTTTGTTCATTTTTTGCTCTCTGTCATATATCCCACATGTGAGTGAAATCATAAGGTTTTTGTCCTCATCCATCTGACTTATTCCACTTAGCATGATAGTTTCAATGATCCATTTGGGTCATTGCAAATGGCAGTATTTCATTCATTCTTAGGGCTGAGTAGTAGTTCTTTGTATATATGTACCAAATCATCTTCATTTAGTCATCTATAAAAGGACACTTAAGTTGTTCCCATGTCTTCGGCTACCATGAATAATACTGCAGTGAACACAGGGGTACATATATCTTTACAAACATGTGTTTTCAAATTATTCAGATGGAAACCCAGAAGAGGAATTGCTGGATCAAAATGTGGCTGTATTCCTAATTTGGAGGGGAACCTTTTTACTGTCTTCCATAGTGACTATAGCAGATTACATTCCCACCAGCACTGTATGAGGGTTCCTTTTTCTCCACATTCTCACTAACACTTATTCCTTGTCTTATTTTAATAGACATTCTAACAGGTGTGAGGTGGTATCTCACTGTGGTTTTGATTTCATTTCCCTTATAGTTAATGAAGTTGAACATCTTTTCATATATCAGTTGAACATTTGTATGTCTTTTTTAGAAAAGTGTTCAGATCCTCTGCTCATTTTTAAATTGGATTGTTTGTTTTTCTATTATTGAGTTACATGAGTTCTTTATTTATTTTACATATTAGCTCCTTATGAGGCATTGTTTGCATCTGTCATCTCACATTTGATTGGTCACCTTTTTGTTTTGCTGATGGTTTCTTTTGCTGTGCAGAAGCTTTTTAGTTTGATGTAGTCTTATTTATTTCAGGATAAGGGCCTAATATCCAAAATTTCCAAAGAACTCATACAACTCAATAACAACAAAAAAACAAACGATCCAATCAAAAAATGGGCAGAGGACCTGAACAGACACTTCTCCCTAGAGGACATACAAATGGCCAACAAATATATGAATAGATGCTCAGCAGCACTAGGGAAATACAAATCAAAATCACAATAAGATAGCATCTCACGCCTGTTAGAATAGCTATAATCAACAGGACAAGTAATGACAAATGTTGGAGAGGATATAGGGAAAAAGGAACCCTCATACACTGCTGGTGGGACTGCAAATTGGTACATCCACTATGGAAAACAGTGTGGAGCTTCCTCAAAAAACTAAGAATTGATTTACCATGTGATCCAGCAATCCCTCTACTGGGTATTTACCCCAAAGACTTGAAAACTCATATCTGAAAAGATATTTTCACACCAGTGTTCATAGCAGCATTATTCACGGTGCCAGGACATGGAAGTAACTGAAGTGTCCTACGATAGAGGATTTGCTAAAGAAGCTGTGGTACATGTATACAATGGAATATTTCTCAGCCATTAGAAGAGATGAAATACTGCCATTTGCAACGACAAGGATAGACCTTGAGATAATCATGCTAAGCAAAATAATCCAGAGGGAAAAAAGTTGAAAACCACATGATATCACTTATATGTGGGATATAAACCTAAAAGCAACAAACGAACAGGACAAACGGAGACTCATGGACGTGGACAATAGACTAGTGGTTACCAGAGGATAGGAGGGGAGGATGCAGAAGGAGGTAGATAGGGTAAAAGGGATCAAATCTGTAGTGATAGAAATGAAACTAAGAGCAGTATACATACAATGCAATACTGCTACTTTGTACACCTGAAACACTGGATTTGTTAACCAATGTCACTTATTAAAAAAATAAATTTAAAAAAAAAATGAGTGTGAGGAGGTTAAAAAACAAAAATAAAAAATATCAGCCTATGTAGAAAAAAGAACAAGCTCTTTGTTACATTAATTTTTTTCTATTGTCTTTTCTCTTTTTCATTTAATTCTGCTCTAATTTTTATTTCTTTTTTTCTGTCTTTGGGCTTCTCTTTTTAATTCTTTCAGGTGAAATGTTAGGTTGTTAATATTTGAAACTTTTCTTTTTTCCTGAAGTAAGCCTGTAATGATAAAAACTTTTACTGCTTTTTGTGTCCTCAAAATTTTATATGCCATAGTGTCATTCTTATTTGTTTCTATGTACCTTTTGATCTCTTTTATTTCTTCTTTAACCCAATCCTTGTTTAGTAGTATGTTCTTTAATCTCCATATATGTGTGGTTTTTCCTTCTTTTTGCAGTTGATATCCCATTTCAAAGCATTATGATTGGAGAAATATGTTTTGTTTAATTGACTCTTAAATTTGGTGAGGCTAGGTTAGTGTCCCAACACGTCGTCTGTTTTTGAATATGTAATGTGCAATAGAGAAGAATGTATGTTCTGGGGTGAAAAGCTCTGTAAATATTGATTATGTTAATTTGGACTAATGTGTCATTTAAGGCCATTATTTCTTTATTTTTCTTTTTGGATCATCTATTCATAGCTGTCAATGGGGTATTTAGGTCCCCAACTATAATTTTGTTTTTGTCAGTTTCTCTTTTTATTTCTCTTTTATATAATTTGGTGCTCCGAGGTTAGGTACACACATATTAATGAGTGTTACATCTTCTTGATGTATTGTCTTCTTTATCATTATAAAATGTCCATATTTGTTTCTTGTTCCCTGTTTTTTAGCTTGTAGTCTGTTTTGTCAGATACAAAGTATGGCTACATCCACTCTTTTTGGATGCCACTTGCTTGGAATATCATTTTCCACTCCTTCACTTTAAGTCTACGTTTGTCTTTGTAGTTGAGATGGGTCTCCCGAAGGCAACATGTAGTTGGGTCCTGTTTCTTGATACATCTCACTACTCTATTTTGGTGAGTTCAGTCCATTTACATTTAGGGTGATTATTCATTTATGAAGATATTCTATAGCCATTTTATCTTTTGTTTTCTGATAGCTCTGTGTAGCCACTGTTTCTTTTTCCTTGTGTTTCTGTTGTTTTAATTTCATGGTATTCTCTGATGTATTTGTTTCTTCCTTTTTAGGTACTGTGTCTTAGGGAGATTTTTTATGTGTGATTACAGTTGTTTGCAAAAGAAAGTTTCATGTATATAGTAGTTTTTTCTATTCTGAATGCATCTAATCTCCATTCTCTTATGCAAGTTCAATACCTTTTCCTTTCCTCTTTTATGTTTTTGTTGTCACAAATTATTCCTTTTTTTTTTTTTTTTTTGCTGAGTTCATTTCCAGATTACAGTAGCTACTATCTTCTTTTTAAATGTTTTTACCTGCTTTAACCTTTATGTTATATTTAAGTGTTTAATACCCTATTTTGAACAAGGGTTGCAGTTTCCTGCATCTATCTCTCTGTTAGTCATCTTACATTTTTGCATCTCTGTCTTTTTTTTTTTTTTTTTTTTTTCAGGTAGCATTTTAGCATTTATTGTAATGCAGGTTTTGTGGTAAATTTTCTTTTTTTCTGGGAAAGCCTTTATTTTTCCCTCCTATCTAAAGTGTAACTGCTGGATATTATTCTTGGCTATTGATTCCTCTTTCAACATTTTGATGCCACTCTCCTAGCTGGTAGGATTTTTGCTGAAAATTCCATTCTGATCTAGTGGGATTTTCTTTATAGGATTTCCTTCTTTTCATTAGCTACCTTGAGAATTCTTTCTCTGTCATTAATTTTTAACAGCTTTAATATAATGTGCCATGGTGAAGGCCATTTTGGATTGAGATAATTAGGTGTTCTGTTAGCTTTTGGGGTTTGAGGATCTAGTTATTTCTATAGTGTTGGGACATTCTCATTGATTATTTCTTTGAATCGGTTCTCTGTTCCCTTCTACTCTTCTGGTATACCCATTATTCTTATATTGCTTTTTTTAATGAAATCAAATGGTCTTCATACAGTACTTACATGTTTTGCTCTTAATTCTCCCTTTCACCTCAGTCATTTCTAGATTTCTATCTTTTATTTCTGTTTTTCCTTTCTGAACTCCCTGTTACCTTGGTTATTCATTGTGCTTGATGGATTATTTCCTCTGCTTAGGCATTTGTGGGAAGAAAATTCTCTCTCTCTCTCTCTCTCTCTCTCTCTCTCTCTCTCTCTCTTTTTGTTGAAATATTTGACTCTCTACTGTTGAACAGGTTGATAAATAGTGGTCTTTCTTTTGTTATGCAGTAAGTGGCAGTGAAGCACATGTTTTTGTTTTCTCTTACCTGCACTACTGAGGCTTCCAGGATCTCTGTGGGTTAGTGTTGCATCGGCTGTAGAAAACTCCCCATATTCCCTAAGGAGGGGGGCATCCTGGAACTGGTTGCCTCAGTTTCAGGGCACCATTCCCATGGTGGTATGTTGTAGGCTATGGGTCTCCTGGCCTGTGTGTTCCTGGTGCTGCTTTTCTGCACCCAGAAGCCACCAACCATACCGCTTTGTCTGGGTTACCTCAGCTGCTTCTACCAGACTCCATTGTGATGGGTGGCAGAAGCAGGTTTGTGTTTCAAAGACTGTGTTCTTTCTAGTGGGTTCAGTCACAATGAATACGAGCTACTTAGGTTGGAAAGTTGCTTCTGCCCTTGCATGATCTCCTTAGTAATGGTTTTAGTGCCAGGTAGGCCACCAAAGGATGGGATTGAGACTGGTTCCCACATCTGCTGCTTTCTTTGTCTTGTGATGGTGGCTTGTAGAACGCTGCAACCATTTGCACAGCTTCTCTGCCCCTAATCCTAGGTTTAGCCTCAATGTGTACCACCTACCAGGCCCAATTACTACCTCTGCTCCTCCATTCTTCCCAGTAGAGGTTGCACCCTGGCCATTCACTGCTGTCACATCTATTGGGTCTGCAGCAAGAGCCAGACTGTGACTGTGGCTCTTGTCTCTGTCATTCCTCTGCCCCTCCCCACTCCACCCTCCCTCCCCTGCTTGCTCTGATACACCCACTTTCAGATTTCTCAATGCATGGATCCCTCAGACATGTTTGTTGAGCCAGGAATCCTTTGTTGAATTATAGCTGCCTAACTCGTAATTTCAAGGAGAGAAACATGCCGCATCCTACATGGTTTATATGGGATCGATTACTCCCCAATTTTCCTTCTTCTTTCCTCATATACTTTTTATGAGAACTCCTATTTCCTTATTAGTAAACTAGACAAAAATGGTAATCATGGCCAACTGCGAGTTCACTTTTTTTTTAAATTATATTTATGCAGTATCATTAATCTTTTCCATTTGTGACATAAATAGTAAATACATTCTTTTTTTCTCTTAGAATTGGGTCGTGAGTAAATTTGGAAGAGTCTTACCTGTCCTTCACCTAAAGAATCAACATAAACGTAAAATATCCTTTGCCGTTGGGCTCTCAGAATAATTATTATTTACCAAAGTGATGACTAATTACAAAAGTTTACTTCCTTCCTTTAGAATTTCACTGCCTCTGTCAGTAAGTCTTTAGATGTTTATTTGACAGTTTTTTGTTCTCAGCTTCTAGGCAATGTAAAACCTACCTACGTACATGTATTTTTCTCAAGAGGAAAATGAGAGAGTGTAATAAGGTTTTGTACAAATAAGTGATACAAATGATGATTATCATAGCAACCTTTTCACTTATTAACTTATATATTCCATTCATCTGACATGGATTCAAAGCCAATGCTGAAAGAGCTAAAGTAGGCCAAGTGAACACAGGGCCATTGTTAAAGTGGGCTTTGGAGGAAGTGGAGTAGGTTTCACATTAATAGAAAAGTGATAGGAAGGAGTCCAGGAAAGAGAAAAATAGTAGATAGAAGTACATAGACAAGCAGGTGGGTGGAGAAATAGTGTGGAACCCAAGATGAGCAAATTCAGATGCCCATTTTCTTGAGGAAATGAGGTCAGATTGTCTGAGACCTTCAATTCCTAGTGTCGTGAACTTTTGGGCTGAGGGTACAGTTTGTGTATCTTTTGCTCTTACATGGTTTATCAGTCAGGGAAGCAGAAGCAGTTCTAGGTATTTCAAATGGGATATAATCTATGCAATTGGTTTAAAAAGTGCTGGAAGAGCTGGAGGCTGATAGCAGGTTGTCCAAAGATTAATAACTGTGGCAGATCACTACCACCCTGGAGCTAGGGAAGCAGAAAGGTGTGTCCTCATTGTTTATTGCTACTGTGCCACTGAGGCCTCTGGAGCCCTAGCCAGAGCTGCTGCTGCTCCTCCTGCCAGTAGCACTAAAGTCAGGGAAATACTGACTTTCTTCTTCTCTACCTTCCAGCTTCCCACCAAAGTCAGCCACTAACAGCAAAGAGGAGGATATTGAAGAGAAGTGTGAAGTTGAGAGATAGTGGGAACCCTTTGGCACACCTCACATATTTGACATATAGTCAGTAGTTACTAAGTGGACAAAGAAACTTTTCAGGAGTTATATTTACAGCATCTTATACTTTCCTATTCATATGTTTTAGGAAATCAGCAAATGCCAGCTGTCTTCACAGTACATTGGCATTAACTAGAATCTTTCCGGATAATGTCAGCAACAAAATGGGCCTGGTAGAAAATTATTAGCTTTCTAATAAAGACCTACATTATGCTCTGCAGTGAGTGAGTAGAAGGTAAAATGGAGGTTATTGAGCTAGGAGAATAAAAGCTAGGATGGGCCAGTATTGAGGCAGGAATGGCACAAAGAATTTAAGACTTGAGAACATGCAGTGTCTAGCTGTTCCCCTCTGGGTGCATCAGCTTTATGCTTTATTGCATCAGCTCAAAAGATGAATTTCTCGAATTTACAGAAAACAGTCTTGGGGCTTCTGTACCTAGAATATAACCTGAATCAATTTGCTGTGATATCAACATACAAGTAGATATTCTGCCAATTAATAGTGTTGGTGCTTGGTTTTAACTGCCAAGTAATTTCTGTTAATTAATAGTGATGGTGCTTTGTTTTAACTCTGGATAGAAAGCTCACTTCCAAAGACCCTGAGGTCATCTAGTTAAGTTCTCATTTTGTTGGATAGGAAACAGAGTAAGAGTAAACAGTATTTTTTGCTTCACCAGATTGACAGTTTTTTCTAAAACCTGCCTTTGTTCTGTTTCTTGACTATTAATAACATCATAAAGTATGATCCATCAAAGTACTGCCACAACTTAAAGAAAATAGGGGAGGATTTCACAAATGTCATCCCTATATCTAACCTCACTTGGGAATTGGAAGGAGGAAATGATCCTATGAGCAAGAAACGGCGAGGAGAATTTTCTGACTTTCACAGGCCAACTAAGAAGATGATAAAAGCACAGAAGGATGAGAGTTCCACTGTGTCTGTGGCTACGAGACCAAGACGCAATAGAGTAATAATAGAGAGTCCACACTTAACACAGCAACAGGCCACACAAGATACACCTAATGATCTCATTACTCCTAAATTACCTCATGTACCTGATTCTGATAGTCAGAAAGTTAAAAATATATTTTTTCAGACTTTTGATTTGGAAACTCCTAGGAACAAAAATAGCATGTCTGATGATACTGATTCTGAAGAGGAATTAAGACTAATGATCGCAAGAGAGAAAAACTTGGAGAGAACTGCATGGTCCTCAATAAAGGAATCTGAAAATGATCCCTTTGAAGTTGTAAGGGATGATTTCAAATCAGATATTCACAAACTTTGTTCTTTAACAGGTTTAGGCATCAAAAATAATGTCTCTTGCCTTGATAGTGAAGATAATGTGAGAAATGATTGCAACTCTGATTCAGGAGACACAGATGCAATCATTGCAATGAAAAAAAATGCTGGTAAGGTCAAAAATAGTACAGAATTTTTACAAATGGAAAAGCCTGTATATAAGAAAACTTTGAAAAGTAGAAAAAACTATAAATTTTCTCGTCATCATATTAAAGTACAAAAAAAAGACAACGTAGAGCTAGCTGTCAGTCATAGAGCTAAGCGTCTTGGTTGTAAATCTCTGTCTGATTCCAGTAGCACTGAAGATGCTGATTCTGTGTCAGAATCAGCTGAGTCTGAGAAATACAAGTATAATGCCATGATGAAAAACTGTCTCCATGTGACTCTCACTTTAGCTGATTTGGGACAGTTGGCTGGCAGTGACCTGAAGGCTCCAAAAGAAAATACTGAGAGTGACGGCTGGGAAACCACTGCCAAGTGTGACAGAGCCTCCAAGAGCCATAGGACTTCTAGTGGCCTCCACAGAGGTCAACAATGTATTCATCCTGAGGAGATTTTGGCTTCCCTTTTTAAAGAAGAGAACACCCCTGGAAAACAGAAACCAAAGGAAAACAACTTAAAGCAAAAATTCCGGGCATTCAAAGGAGTAGGCTGTCTCTACAGGAAGGAATCACTGAAAAAAATCTTGGAAAAAACTGTTGCCTCTAACAATATTAATAAAAATCAGAACTCCTTAAAACTTGAGGATCCCACTAGCATGTCCATGGACAAAGGGTTCCCAGATGCTAATGGTTCATCAAGTGAACTAACTACTTTCCAACGTGCAAAGAAAGCAGATGACCCAAACCATATTCACCCTCAAAGGAGACAGTCTACTTATGAGAGCCAAGATCACAAAGTAGTGTCCCCAAGCAGTTCAGCAGAAAAAGGAAGTACAAACCCTATTTCTAGTCTATTACTATCAAAAAAGAAGAAATCTTTAAGTCTTGGTGCAGAGACTCTCAAGAGAGGCTTTGATGAAGACTGTTGCCACAGGCCCGCAAAGACAGGAAAGGGCTCCGAAAAGAGGCCTGATCTAAACAGCCACATGGCCCCTAAAAAATCACCAGAGGTCTCTAGGAGAGACCCTCAGGAAAGTGAAACTGGCTTTTCACTTTCTCTTAATAGTTCATCAGATGTTAATGTTAAGGATAAGCATGCTGAAGATAATCAGAAGCGTTTGGCAGCCTTAGAGGCAAGGCAGAAAGCGAAAGAACTACAGAAGAAACTGGTTCATAATGCTCTGGCAAATTTGGTGAGTATATTTTCAGTCTATGGATTTAACAGGAATTCTCTCAAATTTCATCTTTTCCTTCTCATGCCCCTTTAGAGGCCAGTGTCCTAGCACTCACCATTTTCATGTTTTGAGTCATTGAGTTAGAAGTTTTTAATTACCATTTACGTTTAGTATTTCCCAAAAGAAGGGAGATTAAATTATTTACAAAAGACATTTTAATTTGTTTTTATCTAAAGTTTTCTTCATAATCTCCTTTCCTTTAGAAACCAGAACTTGTAGAGTTAAGTGATATATCCCAATGCATCTTAACTTACATGTAAGTCACTTCCCAAATGATTTCTATCTTGCCAAGATTTACAATAATAACCCTTTATTCATTCTTTCAACAACTGTCAAGTACCTATGCTGGATTTATAGACTGAGGATTGAGGATCACGGTCCCTGCCTCAGATAGTTATCGGCTCATAGTATGGTGGGCAGAAGGTGAAAGTTCAGTTCTGCTGGCTGAGAGAGAAGTATGCCCATGTGCCCTGGCAGCACACAGGAGGCACACCAGGTTGGTTGGGAGGATGCGGGTAGAGGGCTTCCTCAACCTGAACTTAGTCTAGTGTGGGGATCAGTGCGAACTGGTCAGGCAGAGGTAAAAGAGTGGTAAAGGAGATTCAGAAAGGCATTCCATGAAGAAGGAGCAATTTGTGCAAAAGTCGATATTTGCAGTCAGTATGACTGAAATAGAGTACGAAGTGGCAGGATATGAGGCTAGAGAGATAAATACAGGTGAGTTGTGAGGAGGCTATGGAGGTTGGACTGTGAAAAAAAATGGACATTAAGCAAGGGAATGAAGATTAATTGTGTATATATTAGAACAAGAGTTAGAAAACTACAGCTCTTAGGCCATCTATCCCAAAGCCTATATTGGTACAGCCTCCAAGCTAAGTATGGTTTTTACATTTTTAAAGCATTTTAAAAAACAGGACTGCAGGACCAAGACCACAAAGCCTAAAATAGCTACTCTCCAACCCTTTACAGAAAAGTTCGCTGGGAAAAATTGTTCAGGCCATGATGAACAACAGATTGACTGGGACAAACCTGAAACCAGGGACAGTCTTTGGGTGGTCATGAGCCAGAACCAAGGTAGTAACAGTGGGAAAAGATTTAAAAGATATCAGGAAGATCCAATTGATGGGACTTTGTGATCAACTGGATATGGAGAGAAAGAAATCAAAAGTTTCCATATTGGGAAAATAAGTAGACTTGGCAGGAAAAGAGATGAGGGGTTGTCTTAAAATGCAATGTTCTTGATGATGTCATGCTCTAGGATGGTCATCCAGAGAACAAGCCAACGCATATCATCTTTGGTTCTGACAGTGAAAGTGAGACAGAGGAGACATTCACTTGGGAACAGAGCCATCTGGTAGAGAAACCACTGAAAGTAAGAAGTTCAAGATATCCGTTTGGGCATTCCTCTATTTTTGGCAGATCCATTTCTGCCTTTTGCGTACCAAGACCTGCACACAACTGCCAGGCTCAACCAACAGGAACCATGATAAGACCCAGGGCTCCCCACTCCACCACACACACAAACTACAGGGACCTTGGAGATTTTATTCTCCATGAACCTACCTTCCACATCATCTTCACAGTGATATCAATATTAGTGAAATCCTGCTG